TTAATGTAATCAGGTAAAAATATGRTTGATGTTAGCAACGTCAATTAGATTTATCTCCTTGTGTATTTTAACATGAAGAATCACAGCTTTGGTGAAAAATGTGAATTTTAAAGAATTTCTTGATGAGTTTCAGCTGCCTTCCTGTGCTGCCCTCTGGTGGCAGAATCTGATTTATTGCTTTAACATAACAAACCACCTAAWATGACTTAAATTACAAGAGTCCTTTTTAAGAAATTTGTCAAATCATTGCTTTTTTAAATCTGAAAATATGTTTCTTCTTCCTAAAATGTGCATTTAGGAGTCCAGCACAGTTGCAGCTTTGCTGCAATTTATAAGTGCTTTTTATTGTCCCATAATTTCCTAATAATTACCCCAAGGTGTCTAATTTTCTATGAGTTTACCTATAAGGAGCTGTGAAAGTAAAGTACTCCATAAATATTTACACCAAGCTTTTACAATTAAATATGAGCTTAAAGAAGGATTAAAAATATATTAATGCCATTTTAACAAGCCTCTAATCATAATCTACCCAAAATCAAGATTACTGCAAAAGATCCCAGGTTTTTTCAAATTTAGGTTGTAATATTTAACAGAAAAACATCAACAAGCATTACAACACAAAAAGCACTTAATCATAAATTGCATTTGATCATAAATTAAGCACAAAACACAAACCCTATTCCTCTGTGAACTCTAAATCCTTTATGGTTAGCACCCATACTAAGTATTTTATGCTAAGCTCTTTTACTAAGTATTTGAATCATGTAACTTCTTGTAAATTGCAATTTTTTGCTTAACTTTATATAGTTGAATATGTATTTTGTTTGTATTTTCTTATTAACAGATTCATATACTGTATGTGGAAAAATGTTTTTAATTAGTTAGATTTACTTTGTTTGTTCTTCAAAATAAAGTTCATGTTTTTGACCGAAGTTGAACACAGGACGCTCAGTTTCACAAAAATAAAATAATATGTAAAGAACAGTTTTATGCCATTTTAAATTATATGTGTGGGATGCAAAAGAATTGAACCTTTAGAAATGATTTCTGAACATTTTGGTGTGTTTGTCTTTTAGCTTGCAGAACAAACAGTGAGCAAGCCTATGAAAAAATAGGTATTATTAAATAAAGAACAAAAAAACCCAGAATGTGATAATATATAAGAAAAATAATTTTTCTTGATGTTTCACTGTTTGTAACCATTGGCGCCTACAAAAACATTTTCAGGGGGGCCATGCATTTAAAAACCAGGGGTGGCACACCAAAACTAAAATCCTTAACATAAATTTTGTGATGCTGTTGTAAAATGACAATTTGAAAACTATTTTAAATAAGAGTTAAGGATTTTCCAGTAGATGTTCAGTTTGTAATTTTTCAGATAAAATTACTTGGTGTCATATGCGTCTCAATATATTACCCCCCCTCCCCGTTGACTGTTTTTACTGCAAAACTGTGTCCTTCCCTCATATTTACAATCAAWTCAAATATTCTGAATGAATAAATAAACTGCATAAAAAGGATTTTGCTAAAAGCTAATAAAGCAGAACACTAACTAAAAGGGGCAAAACCCTAGCTAAAAGCTAAAAAAAGAACAATGCTAGCTAAAAATAACAACTATTCAAAAAGAAATGTTGAAAAACCATGAATGACCAATAGGTTAAGAAATGCTTAAACTCCTTAAAACTGAAAACAAAAGAAGCAGAAGAGAGATAAGAAATACAAAAACAAGTTAGTATGGATTATAAGAAAACATAAGAAGGAATATTACAGTGATTTATTAGATAAAAGTAAAAGTGATATGAAAGCAACATGGTGAATAATGAATAGTGTCTTGAAAATTCATAAAGTACGGTCAGCTATGTCACTGTATTTTGTAAAGGATGATGGAAACTGATGATCAAGCAATGAGATAGTAAATGAATTCAATCAATGTTATGTAACTGAAAATACTAAAAATAGATAATAATATGAATCGTACAGTCATGGGTTGTGCCAAAAGTATTTTTCTTGGTGAAACTGATTTTTAAATATTGTTTAAAAACTTGCAGACAAAAAATCAAAAGATTGGGTGGACGTGGATATAATGTTTGTAAAGGATATTATTGGTTGTGTTATTGAGCCGTTTACATATATGTAATTTATCATTTTTAACAGGAATATTTCCAGACAACATGAAAATAGCCAAGGTAATTACTCTCTATAAGAATGGTGAAAATGTGTTAGTTTTTATGTTGATTTAAAGACAGCATTCAACATTATTGATCGCAGCATTCTTTCAGTGGGCATCAAGTTATTTAAAAGATAGGAAACAGTTTGTACAAGTAAATGATGAAAGATCTCTGTAACATTGCAWTTGGAGTTCCACAAGGTTCTGTACTTGGACAAAAATTGTTTATTTTGTCTGTAAATGACTTGATAAATGTGTCAGAGCTTTTTTAATGTGTTCTGTTTGCAGATGATACAACATTTTTGTTTGGGTAAAGATATAGAACGAACGATGGGGGGTGGTGCAGATAGAATTTGTTAAAATATGAAATTTGTCTCAAAACTATCATTAAATTTGAATAAAACTAATTATATGATACTTAGTAATAGAAAGAGAAGTGTTGATGCTCCATTTAAAGTTGATGGTGTTGAAATTGGAGTCAGTGACGTTTCTGGATGTCATCAATGATGAAAAGCTGACATGGAGAGCTCAAATAAATAATTAAGAATAAAAATTGCTAGCTTCTTTGCAGTATTGTACAGGATTTATTCAATGATAAATCTTAGTATATGTTGCATAATGCAATAAGTGTCCCACACTTAATTTATTGTTTTGAAATCTGGGGGAAAGCATGTAAAACTATTACAAATCCCAGTTTTATTTTACAGAAAGGAGCTGTAGGAATTATAACCAGAAAACATTACAGTCACCCATCAAATATATTATTTTGTCAGTTAAAATTATTAAAATTTCACGAGTTGGTTGATAATAGTATTTTGCAGGTCATGTATAAGGCTCAACCAGTTAAAGTTTGTTAAGAGAGAGCTATTATAACCTTATTGAGATGTTTGTGAAACTTAAATTTCAAACCAGTTTGAAGAATAAAATTATGCACTTATCTGGAAAGTGCTGTTAAAAATGCCAGATCAATGTTTATAYAATGATTAAACTTAGCTGAAGAAATATGAAATAGAATAACGTGTACTCATACAAATTTTTTGAGGATTGTTATTGATGTTTGTCGTTACTTAAAGACTATTAATAGTGTTTATTTTATTTTACATTACTTGTTACTACATTTATGTACTTTTTGTATGTAGTTTGTTTTTGTTTTTAAATAAAATGCAAAAAAAGTAAACCACTAAAGTTAAAGGTAGCAAAAATGGTTGCTTTTCTTGCTTTTGCAAGAAAAGCTTAGCTGAAAGTATCAAAAGACCAGCTAAAAGCTAAAAGCAGCAGAAGGCTGAGTAAAATCTGGATGAGTTGACAGTAAAGAAATAAGTAGAAGCAGTTTTCAAATAGGAGAGATCTATTACTGAGGAATATATTGATAGTAACTCTATTTTAATTGCATTTTAAAGACATAAACTTACATCAGGATTTTGAAAAAGTTATCTGCTCCTTGCATGCAGCAAGTTCACTTCATGTGCAGAAAGACTCAGAAAAACACACACAATAAAGCTGTTTCTGCTGCGGTGGATTTATCTCAAAGTACTTCACCTAATCCTGTTTACTCAGATTAAATCAACTCAATCTTTTCAGCTGGGCACTCGACTCGAATGTGAATTTGACCACAAACTTCTTAACACTTGTGTTTTAATAAAGTTTAATTTGTTTAAACAGGATTTGCTGTTTTRCTGCAGACCGTTGTTTTATTGCGTTGTGCGCCACCTGGTGGGTGTGTTCATCACTGCACCTGTTCAAGTTACATAACTGTTATGTAATCCCACACAAAGTCTAARGTAAGGATGTTTGTAGGAATTAAAACTCATCTATTGTAATTTGAAGGTAATGCAAATGCACATATTACCTTATTTTCCACATCTTATTTCTTGTAAAATTATTATTTTTAGCTGCTCTAAATGTTTTTGGCAGCAATAACACCAATTTAAATCACACAAACCTGTCGTCTGAAAGGAAATTAATTTATTCTAATTAAAACACTCAAATACTGGTTTATTTTCAATAAATGTTAACATTAAAGCCATTTTTAAACCGAAACTCTAAGTACTAGACAAAGTATTTTGTTTGTGCTGTATTAAGGGTATATTGTATAATTTACTAGACTTTGATTGAAGAGACTTTATCCCTTCGCTCCCTTTGCTGTCATGGCACGTGGTTCTGACTCACAAAGGACTAAATAAAGTTAAATATATGCTCCTCCGTCCAGATAAAACCATTAATCAAAGCGACATCCTGTCTACACAAAATGTCACAAAATTGTAACTTCCATCGTCGACTTAAAATAAAAAGAATCAGTCTGCAATGAGGATCAGTATTAAAGCCCTGGTATTCATTGCAAACATTTATTACATGTTTTCTTTTTTAATAATGATGCAAACAACAGCAAGTCCCATCCATGTTGAAAACAGCTCATCACTTTTAGTCATGAGGGAATGAAAGAGACAAAGGGACAGGAACAGAAACATTATTATGCTTAATTCTATTGTTTTCTTTTAAAAAATAAAAAACATGACAATCATTTCTCGTTGATTTTGGCATCATGTTCCCTCTTGTAGAGTGATATTGGTCTTAAAAAAATCAGGAAAAAGAAAATCAAGGCATGCATAATAGTTCCTGGTAATGCACATAGATCAAAGGATACCACTTACAAATACAAAGATCCATGTACGATATTTGTGTACATTTCATACGTGTGGTCCCTTTTTTAAAAGTGTGTTAATCTACCCGTCTCCTCTGTTTTTACTTGACTGTTAAAGGATCTAAGCTGTTTATTTTTCTAATATTGATTTTCCATCAGTTTACCCCTCCTCTCATCTGTAATGGGGTGTTATTGTAAAGTTTTTTCTCTTTAAACACTTTGATCATTGTGCTATCTACACTGCCAGAGTTATAGCCTGCATTGTTTTTCTATTTAAAAGAAAAAAATTAAAACTCCCCCCTCTTTCAGTAGAACTACCCCCGTGCTTCTGCTTATAAAAAACKAACTGTTTGGATCCGGTCAGAGCTACTCTGCATATGAGACACAAGTATATTAACTTCCACAATAGGTATGGATCTGATTTACGATACACACTGCTTCAGTCCTTTAAATGAGTGAAACAGCCGAATGTTTTGAGTGAGAGCTGTCTACATGGCCTCGTCTTTAATTTACTGAAACCAGAAAAAAAAAAAAAACAGGACAAACCAAAAACACTGATTAAATATAACGTTGGGTGAATTTCTTTACTGTTAAAAGAAGAGAGAGGTGTCCTGCAATGTATACAWCTACGCCGCTCACTCTGGCTGGCTTCAGATGAGTTGGAGGCTCGCTGACATAGCCATAAACAGATGTAGTTATAATGCATCTATCATCACACTGAAGAGATGGCAGGAAGGGGAGGAACAGAGTGTAGCAAACAACAGACACAGAATAGAAAAGATTCATCTGCTTGAACGTGAACACCCTTTGCTCTCTTTGAAAAAAAGAAAGAGAGATGACAAGAAGACGTGACGGTGAGCCTAGATGTACGAATGCTTTTGAGTGCGGAACCAAATGTTCGACCAATAAAAGTCTATTGGGATCGAGTTGTACTGGTTTCTCTGGAGATGGAGGCAAACTTGATTAACATGGGGACTGAGTATGATGGTGGAAACGGCGGGCGTCTTGAGTGGTTGGATTTGGCGCCCCCCCAATCTCGATGTTGCTGATGGCGGCGTGTTATTATGGGGGCGTGGCCTCTTTAGTCGATGTACTGGGACAGCCAGCGGAAGCCCTCGCCATAGCCCTGCCTCTTCAACACGCTGCACATGTACACCTCCAGCGGTCTCGTGTTCAGCTCCTTCAGGGGAATGTTTCCCTGGGGGTAGAGGGGGCAGGTCAACGTCACACAAAATGACCATTTTTAAAAAATCATTTCACACAGAATCATTTTATTGGGCTATAAATGACAATATTTAAACAAAAAACGCAAAAAATATGTATTTTTTTTTACTAATGAAAATAAAAACTGTAAGATGGTGTAAAAAACAGAAGTGACGGTTAAATTTGAAATGTCAGAATCTTGGCTAGAAGCTCGTAATAAAACATTTCTATGAACACTCACAGTTAAAACTACAAGAGGCTGAAGATAAAATTAAGATATGTCATAATAGTGTGGTTTATGTGTGTTAAATAGGGGGCATAATGTATTATTTTTGTTTTTGGTGTTGTTTTAACTGCACTACTTTTATTACACAGGGTTCTGTATGTTGTATCCATGATTAAATGCGGCAAAATAAACCAATCCTAAAGGTAACAGATCTTTGTAATACTTGGTTTATTTACATAAGGACTTTAATTGCTAGCTGTTGTCCTGCAGTAACAGTGGCCCCTGGAGCAATTTATCTGAATAGTCCTGCCATAGACTTTTAGTAAATTACATTAAATTGTTTTATTTCTACGATCACGTACTGTGTTCCCTCTTTTATTCCTCATATCCATGTACTCACCTTTCCTGTCGTCTGTCCGTACAATCCAAACATTTCCCTCAGCCTCTCCTCACTCACAGCTTCTGGCCTGTCGATTTTGTTGCCCAGGATTAAGATAGGCACATTACCGATGGTCTCGTCTGTCATTAATGCCTAGGGAGGGGAAGAGGGATTTCAAAACAATATTAACAATGATTATAAATTGATATTTTGATAAACTGGTGTCTGAAAAACAAAACAAGACAGACATTATCTGGCTGAAAGAAGTAAGTGAGAATTGATTTTTGTAGCTGTAAAAGCATTTATTGATCATTTTCAGGGAAGCAGAATAAACTAATGTCTGTTTGACGTCACAACAGTAAGAATTCCCTTATGCCATCAATTTAGGGACGAGGCAAATGCATTATTATTTARTGTCTTGTGGAGTTTAGATAACGTCTTGATATTATATTTTAGTCACAGTAACCCTGTTTCCATCAAGGCTTTTTGATGCACATTTAGAAGTGTCGTATTAAAAACGCAAAAAAAGTCGGATGGAAACAGCAAAATTCGAAAAAAAAATCCTCAATTCGCTAAAAAGTTTTTACGCTCGCTTGAGGTGGTTTTTGGATGTTTCACAAAGTAGTTAATGTGCAAAACGGGAGATGGAAACATGTTTGCCGAATAAATTCTGACGTAGCGCATTTTACCTCACGTGACGTTCAGCTGTTTCCGCATTCCTGCCTCGTCCCGGATGTTATSATAAACGCGTGAAAACATGGCTGAGAACAACAACAGGTACGTGTGGACTGACGAAGAGACGAGAACATTTCTCTTTAATTCGTGAAACGTTACAGCCATTTTAGATGAAAAAAAATTGCTCCATTGTCCCGAGATGATTAGCCTCTGCAAGTTAGCAAGTTTCACTTCCTGTTTACTACCGCAAAGCTTGTCGCCGACGTCTGACGTAATCACGCGTTGCGTAGCCTCYTTTATTTGTATCAAACAGTCGAGAGGGAAACTAGATGGAAACTGTCTAGATTCAAWTTTTTATTTATTTAATTTTTTGTGAATTTTGAAAAGTTCGATAAAAATTCACTCTACAACTGGATGGAAACACGATTAATCACCTCCACTACAGACTTATTTAATCAGATGTGACCGCTACTGGCTTTATTACAGACAATTTGAAGTTTTAACTGACCACTTTTATCACACTGTGCTGGATCAAATGCAGCAAAGCATGCATCTTTGCATATGCAAAACATGCCTGAACTGGATCAGCAGCTTGTCCACATGACGATGCAAGGAACAAACAAACAAAAAGCTTATTTTTGTTCTTTTCGACGTGATCGGTGAGAACTCCTGGGACGTTTATTCCTCCAAGGACTCCGCTCTTCCTTCCCTGTACAGATTTTTGCTTCCCTCACCGTGACATGTTCTACGTTTGTAACTTTGTCACAGAGCATGTACTTCCTCCTGGCCAGCACAGCTACAGAGCCGCCTGTGTCTCCACGCTGTCTCCTTCCATAAGTCCTTCACTATTTGACTATCTTTATAAGTTTTACTGGAACAGCTGTAATMATGGCTGTATTCTATTGTTTTTTTACAACCTCAGCCAGCTCCTCAGCAGAGCAGCTGAGGCAAAATGACACTACTRTGCATGAACACACCCACAGAAAAGGTCTGACCAATCACAACAGTTGATGCAAACGGCTGAGAGAGAACGTCCTGCCTGMACCATGAGCAGAAGAAAAAACGAGAAGAGAAAACGACAATTTTCGTCACACATTTCCTCATTTTTCTCAGAGTATGAATCCAGCTTAAGCGTGCCTTGTTGACGTACCTTATAGCAGAACATTGTAACTATTCTCTTGCAGCTGTGTGTTTAAAACCATGAGGTTCATGTCTACAACCTTGAAACACCTACAACAAGGCCAAAACATAACAAGAAGCAACTGTAGACACCAACCCTAAGAAGCAGCAGGACTCTGTTTTTAGAAGTTATATTGCAGAAATGTTTACGTAGCTAACATTTACTARGATAAACAAGTCTTTCCAGCTTTAAGACCAAGTATCATTTTTATGTGAAGATGCAAGAGCGAACTGTTTAATTTTAAGTGGAAGGTAGCAGTTACTCACGTCAAGCTCTGTTTTTGATTCAACCAGTCTCTGATGGTCTGCACAATCCACGAGGAAGACGATACCATTAATGGCAGGGAGGTAGTTTTTCCACACTCTGCGGGCTGAAACATTAACACCACGTTTTACACTCTGACTGGTCAGTTTGTCAGAAACCTTAAATGTTCCTTTAAGCATTAAACTGAGTTACAGGACTTTACTTGAGCGTTGCTACATTTAACATTTAAATCATATAAAATGACAAATATAATAAAAAGCATCACAACACACACCTTGTGCGTGTCCTCCAAGGTCAAAAGTGGTAAAAGTCATGCCAGCGATGGTCAGCTCTTCAGATGCTGCAGGAAATAAATCAGCTTTATTTCATTCTGCAGTTTCACTGTACTTAAAATTTATATTCACAACAGTCTGCCTGGATTTCTCTGCATGAGCAGCATTTCGTGTGCGAACATGCATGTGTGACAAAGCAGCAACTCACTTGGGTGTAAAGTTGGCACATGCTGCCCCAATCTGTCATCTTTAAGCATGTGCAGTAGTGTCGTTTTGCCAGCATTGTCCAAGCCGAGAAATACTAACTTGCCGGATTTCTTGTACAGTCCTAAAAAAATAAAAAACCAAAACCATTTCAGAGACATGAGTTTTAGGGTGAAAAACATCTTTCATTTTTTAAAACATTCTGGAGTTGTTTACACGCAACATTTCTGATGTGTGATAAAAATATCTACAAAGTGTTCCGATATATTTTTTCTGTTCATCTGAATTTATGTTTTTCAGTTTGCAGGTGTATTAATATGAATCCTGTCCTGAGTCTCATGTCTCTGGAGTTTACATYAGTTAAATGACACTTGTTCCAAATTAGCACACTGATTATCGTACTTAAACACAGGATGAGAATAAGGTATTCGACCACTCCTTGCTGAACTTGCTTGATGACGTTTAACAGTCTGACTCAGCAGCACAGTGATACCCAGGGGATCTGTGACATTTCTGATTGAGTCAGCTCTATTGAACCTCACGCAACCTGTCAAACTGGGAGAACAGGAACTGCTGTGGCACGTGGCTCCAACACAGAAACTAGAAAACAGACCTCTGGAGACAAGACCTACTGATACACATTACAAGATTTTCCATCAGCTTTCAAATGGACACATCTATCACACAAAGCTGAAAAGATGTGTTTGAGAGAGATATTTTCTTTGTCTTTGTCTACATARGTGACCCATCATATCGAAATGAGGATTAAGTCAAATTTGGTCAAAATGACCTAATTACATTTTCAGATTCTTGGCTTTAAAAGCTACATTTTGATACCTGGATCATRCTGATATCATAATTAAATCCATATTTATGACTTAATTTGTCTTGTTGGTTACAATAATACATAAATATTTAGTCTGAATCCTAATTTTATGTCATTTTAATGAGGAATATTTGATGTCCTTATAAAGAGGAAACCTCAAATTATATTTGAATATTGAGATTTCCCAGCTAAAAAGAAACAAAACTTTACTAACTCACAGGGAAAATCTCAAAATTTTAAGGTGTTTTTCCTCAAAATCAGTTTTTTGTTGCTACTGCTCAAAAAAGTGCTTCAAATTTTAGTTTTATGATTATATTTCAGACAGTTCATTCAAGTAATACATCATTATATTTTGACGAAATGCAATTTTTGTTAACATTTTAGTCAAAACACTATATTTGTCTTTTTCTCCTTATAATACTTTTGGACTTAAACCTCATTTTGATGTGATGGCTCACGTGTTATTAATGAAGCCATTTAACAAAAACATAAGATGATTGTGTGGGTCCAACAAGTAAACAAACACTTCTATACCAGAGATATTCAGCTAAACTGCTCAGGGGATCATCATCCAGCTAAATGTCATTTACAATTTAATGTCTAGTTTTGTTTGCAATAAACTTGTCAGTGGGCCTGACAGATCATATTCTATTCAACAAAGAGAGTTGTAGACACAGCGCTCACTGTGGATATTTAAAGACCGAAGCATAAGTAACGTAACTAAATCTTCAAGTTTAACACAGATCAGATTATTTTTTTATTTTTAATATTTCAAAACTTTGCGGTTCCCTGTTTTTGAAACTATAAAATTAGTCAAATCTATTAAAAGGGTTTAAGCATGCATTTTATGTTTGCAGTGAGTGTCAAATAATCAGTAGTACTCACCTAAAAACTGTAGTACGCTATTGAAACCGCTATAAATCCAATCAAAAAGGAATGACATATCCGGAGCTGGTAAATTCTGAAAGACAAAAAGTGAGACGAATCAGATGGTGAGAAGAACGTGTTGCAAACACAAGGAGAGTAAAAACAGAAATGTTACAGTGCAGTGCACTAAACCTTAGCTTTACGTCACACACAATGAGAAACAAGCATTAGTTCTGGTAAAAATGGCTTAAAATTATTCAGCACAGTAAAAAGGGCTGGGAGGTTTTTGCAACCACAAATTAATTTACATACATCTAAGATGACTAAAACTTTAAATATTCTGCAGATAAGAGCAGATTATGTTCACTACTTTAAAAACCTTTAAATCTCTCTCTTGGTAAAATAAAATGTCTCACTATGGTGATTTGTTACACAGAAATGCTCAGTTAAAATATAACAGAAATCACCACAAACTTAAAAACGACACTCATCTTTAAGAATTGAGTTCAAAACTATCAGGCAGATACRAGCAACTGGTGATAAAAGTAGTTTCTGCAGCCAATGATTGTCTTTTATGTAGCAGCCCTGATACTGTATTATCGTTTCACAGCAGGCAATGTGGTGCAGAGAGCTTCACGTCAGCACCCGCAAAAATAAAAACACATCTTGGTTTTTATTGTTTCATGAAAAGAAAAATACATCCAAGAAAGAACTTGTTACAACTGCCTCGAATCAAAAGCTTTCAGGCTAAATTCCACTGTGCTTTGTTTACAATAATCTATTTAGCTTCTTTTTAGTGATAAACGCACAATTATGGGAGTGTCACAGTGATTACATACGACAAAGGAGAGAGAGCCCACAGATAAAATAAACAGATCTTTATCAAATTAAGAAGAAACTTAGACATGCCACTTATTCTCAGCCCGACCTACGTTCTCACCCTTWCAGTAATTATAGAAACTGAGGTAACAGAACAAGGTAAGCTGGGTGTCGACCTCTAGCCCTGCTTATGTAACGTGCAAACAACTGGAGGGTTAAAGTTTAAAGCAGACAAAGGTCAAGATCAGGCAAATATTGAAAACGCAGTTCCACTACACGTCAGCTGCTTTCATATGGTGACGGCCAACAAGTCAGAAACAAAGATAATGAAAATTGTGGGAAAAGGCAGAGATTTTTTCCCCCTATAAACTAAGAAATATTGCCTGAAAGTGTCCTCAGAGCTTAACGTGCCACAACTAAAACATCTGTTATGAAAGAAATCAGGGATGACACTTTTGATCACCTCTTCAGTAAAAACGGTTTGTTTCCAAAGCACTTTCATAAAGACGAAGAATTGCAAGTACTAATGTAAACAATGTACACACAAAAAGTCTGTTAATTTAGCATTTTACAATTATCCCCTAATACAACTCATTTGTTTCTTTTTAGGATTTTGTAATACATTACTATTCAATTTTAGTCTTTGCAGTTATTGTAAATTAATACAAATGCTACAGAAACAATTTATAAATCATACTGTTAATGATTTGAATAATTTTGGCTAATACAACCATATAAATTTTGTACTTGCTACAATATAAAACAAATAATTGGCTTACATTGGTCTCTGAGAAGGTCAGAATATTATAGTTAGAACAAATCAAGCAAAAGGTAATTAAGTTTATTCACAAAAATAAAAAGTAAAAACTATAAAGGTAAACGCCGTGATCCAATTAGCTCTGTCAAAAGTATGTATGTAGCCAACAGTGTTTTTAATTAATTTTTAAAAGTGATATCCAAGTGTGGTGTTACTATACTGTTTATATTTTAGCATCTCTGATTTGTGGAAGTTGTCCCTCTCCCAAAAGGGACATAAAACAGTAAAATTGTTTATAAAGTAARGCTAACCATGTAGTTCTTCGTCCTGACCAAACACAGACATTTTTTAAAGTCCACTTTTCAACCACTTGTCAAACTACTGACAGCATTAAATGGGATGAATTGATGACAATCAATAAAGATGACAGAATGACAACATGTCTGCAATAAGAATACAACTTAAGTGATTACTGTGTTTAATTTAAAGAAACGTATATATGACAGATTTTACTAAAGTTATACCGGCTAACATAGTGGCTAACAGGAAACCAACTAGCTACGTGTCATATTCTCCCTGGCGACGTCGCATCTGATGCTAGCTGCGTTAGATAATTAGCTGAAAAAAATAGTTCGTCGATGTACTAAAGGCACTGACGTCCCTTCTAGTGTGACTGTTCCCCATCAAATTATTGACAGGACTGTCAGCGTACACACAATAAATGTAGTTTACATCCAGTTCGACGGAAGTTTAAATTAAATCAACTTAGCCAACTTGGTGTTAGCAATGCTAATGTTAGCATCGTTAGCAGTCGGGGGGTAGCGAGCTGAAAAGCCGAACAGGTAGAATTTCTTTTTTTTTAAAGGGGCTGACAAAACATCGTCAAAAACCTACCTGCTGTTCAGGTGTAGACTGATTTGCCGAGAGCGTTCGTTCTGACGGTCACATAAATTAACCTCGGTCAAAAAGATGACAGCGGCTGTCTGATCTGCTTCAGCCCTTTTCGTGTTTTGTTAGCGAGCCACGACACTGCAATGGCTGTCGGAGAACTCCGCTAAACTCTGCCCAGCCGCTTCCGGTTTATGTTCCACACTCAACTGTCCGACAGGAAAATTCTGCCCTTCCGTCATTTATAGTTCCTACAACTCAAAATCTAATCCCGATCCACTGTAAAGGTTATGGCAGTGTTTTGTAGTGTTGTATAAAGTACCTCAAAGTGATACTTGAGTAAAAGTACAAGTA